TGAGTCGCTGTTAGATGCTCAATGTCAAGCGCAGTAGTAATCGTTGTAAATCTGTACTTACAACAAAATGGAAGAACTATGGCATCTAACCGGGAGTCTCCACGTGGACGTTTGTTAACTATCTCCACTAAAGTTATTGGCGCGCTAACAATGCCTAACAAAGTACTGTCTCCACTAGCAGCCCCGAAACCATATTTTTACCGTCTATTAGCGCCATTTCGCTCCTGCTTGAGCAAACTTTTTTTGAACATTAAAGAGAAATGAGGACGGCAGTTGTCCTGCAAATTGTCGCTGGGCTGTTGCCCATTCTCATAGCAGCATGGACGTCGGCAATGCTAAACAGTCTGGGCAGCGGACTCAGCATTGGCTGCTGAATGGTTGCCATTAAGGCATTGTGTAATGAAGTAGGATAGTTCGGAGACGGTACAGGCGAGGGCGACTGGTTCTGTGACATTCTTGGTCAACGGCAACGGCGAAAGTCGGCGAGCAGTCAAGGTAGTAGACGGAAAGCAAAGGAAAGACCGTGTGATATTAAAATTTAAAAAGAAGTCACGAGATTTTCCGCGCTCAAAGTTAACAAATTTAACAATCCTTAAAGCTGGTCCGGGGCAGCCTATAAATTTTGCGGACTTATTGGACGTTTAACAAGGGCGTTGTCTCAACGTGGGCCCCCCGTTCTTCGCCATCCCTCCGCCTTCCGTCAAACCTTTTGCATTTCTATCATTTATTTATATAGAATATGTCTTATTGCGAAACAGAACGTGCAAACCTGACGTCCAGGGTGAGAATTTTTAAAAGGGTCGCTAACAAACGTCCATGTGGAGACTCCCTGTAAGATTAAGGAAGTGTATGCAGGATTTCTTGAGTGTCACCGGTCCACTGCATGCCGTACCTGGATTGTAGCATGCAGTCCGTCAAGGGCCCAGCTATGAAAGAGTCCAGAATGAAACTAAAGCTAATCTAAATTTTCATGGATTGATTATGGCATCGAGTAAGACAAATGCTCCAAGGCTGTCACCTGTGAACCTGCCAGCAGCACTTAGTATGTGCCTTGAAAGGAATTCCAAGTGAAACCTCTCTCTGACACCTCTCTATCGACTTCCATGCCCAGCAGCATGCCAGCATACATGGGAAGTTG